TGAAGGAATGTTCATTTACAATCGTTAGTTATCCCTGGTGGCTTTGTGGCACTAACATTTAGAGACTAATAAAGGGACCACAGTGGATTAAATAAGCACACACAGGTAAGCACTAAGGAGCAATAGTACATCTCATTTTGAAAACACTATTTTCTTAATTAAGATGAACCAATGATTTTTCTTCCATTTTAAAGAATTACTGAAGTCTGCCATATTATATAAGACACTGCCATGTAAACATAGGGCTGATAGTATCTTTCTGGCTGCTCCACCCAAAATACAGACTTTTAAAAAATCTATCCTGAAAGTCATTATCACTGGGTTAGCTGAAAACTGTTTTTTATTATTAGAAATGCTTTCTAATTCTTTATCATCTTTTTTAAAGTATTCTTATTTTAACCTCATCTCAAATACTTCATACTTATTTCATAAAACTCCCCAAAGATACTTTTTCATACTGTGTAAACTGGTATTTCCACCTCTTAAGTACATAAACTCGCGTGCCTTTAGATGCTGTTAGGTGATGCTGATTCTTTATTTGCAGATTTGACGCTGTTAGAAAAAGGATTTAAAGTAGATTTTATATTTATGGATAAAGAGGGGATGCAGACAATATAAAGGAGTAAATGTAAGTTTTGCCTGTTACCCCAAATTTGCTGAATATTTTAATATGACATTGTACTTTACGATCCAGCAAACTGAGGTAACTGGAAAAACCTATATATTTTTTATTTACCTCAACTCTGTTGAATATTGTAATATGACTTTGGATCATGTAATTCAGCAAATTTTGAGTAATAAAAAGTTATTCTAAATAATTTTAGATAATTATTTTTCTGGTAAAAGTTATTCTGATACAAAGTTAATGAAAAAATTATCTGACACTTGTTTAATGATATGGGAACTTTATTCAGGACTATTGTGATGGGTGTCAAAACTATGGCAGAGGGGAGGCAGATTGGCCCAACTCTGAAATCAGGAGATTTATAGCCAAGGTGCAAGCTAAGGGTAACAGAATAATTACTAAGAAGAGACATCATAGGTGAGGGAAATTCTTGCTAAACTCACCTAACAGGATTCCTAGTGAAGGGCAGCCAGGGTCACCAAATATCAAGGATGGGGGTTGAATAATTTGATTAGGTATTGAGAATGATCAGGTATCATAAGTGAGGGGATTCTCTCTAAACTGACTTTACCAGAATTTTACTGAAACAGGACTCCACAAGATCAGACACTGAAGCCCAAGGTCAAGACTTAACTAGTTGTGAAGAGGACTCACAGGAACCTGGCTAAAGTTTTGTCAAGGAGAGTTTCAGTCTTCTAACGACTAAGGCAAGGAAGAACATCTTGGCATACAAAGTTTGCATTGTGCAAAACAGTAAATACTCATCATTCTCTACATTTCCATGAAATTGAACTCAGGCCTGATTTTATTATTTGAGTTTCAGTTTTTTTTAATGTAAGTACACAGCAGGGAGTATGTAGTCAAGATCGCATTTAAACTGAGTGGTGAGGGAATGAAGCCACGGGAATATCTTAGTGGCCAAATTCAGGTGCCCTATGGAATGGTGCATGGGGTACTGGAGAAGGTATGTAGAACCCACTGTGAGTGGAGTGAAGTGGGCAAAGGATAGAGAAGTAATGCTTTGGGGAAGAAGTAGAAGTATATCAGAGATCAAATCATATGGGACCTTAAAGCCCATCGTATGATCTTTTACTTTAACTGTGAATGACAAAGGAAACCATTGGAGGATTCTGAAGAGGGAAAAGATCTGGTTTACATTTTTTTTCTTTTTTTTAATTTTTTATTGCATTTTAGGTTTTGGGGTACATGTGCAGAACATGCAAGACAGTTGCATAGGTTCACACGTGGCAGTGTGTTTTGCTTCCTTTCTCCCCTTCGCCCACATTTGGCATTTCTCCCCAGGCTATCATTTTAAAGAGATCAGTTTGACTGCTGTGGTGAGATAGATTACAGGAAGGTAAGGATGGCAGAAGAGAGATCAATAAAAAGGTTTCTGAAGTAGCCTGGAGGGACCATCATGGTGGCCCATTTCAGGATAGTGTCTGTGGAAATGATAAGTAGTTAATGGTCATATTCTGAATATGTTTTGAAGGCAGAGATAAAGAGTTCACTGACTGATAGATAACTTAGAAGATTAAGGTAACATTTTTTTCGAAATGGGGAAGAGTACAGAAAAAAAACAGGTTCTTTTTGGGAAGAACAGCAGTTTGGGTTTTTTTGACTGTTTTTTATCTCACAATGCCTATTAGACTTCCAAATGGAGGAGTTAGATTGGGCCTAAGGACAGACAGTAATTTGAACCCTTGGCTCTGATCACCCAGGAATTGAGAGTACACAGATGGGTCCAGTGACTGATTTGCACAGGAATCATTTATTTCTCTGTGTTGTCCTTTGCCTCCACTGGTTATTCAAGACTGGCTTAGAAGTCCCTATTAAGGATGCAGTCATCTGTGTTCTTTCATGACACTATGTAAACAACTGCCCTGTACATTCTGAATCTTGTTGCGCTGGCCTGTTTTCTGGTCATCTTCTCCATCATACTATAAGTTCTTTAAGGAGAAGGCCTATAGTACATAAATAATTATTGAACAAAAGAGTAAATAAAACTTTGTACTTCAAATAAAACCTAAGTAGTAATTGTCCCTGTCTTTCTCACCCAACTCACGTCATGCCATTCTTCGCTTTGTTCACTATACTGCAGCCTCCTTTATCAATTGTTTATAGGAATATCACTTTCTCAGCTCCTCAAGCCTTGAGGATTTTCCCATGCTGTTTTTCTTCATAGAATACTTTTTCTCCCTTCATTATTTGATCTACTAATGCACTGCAATTGATTAAATCCTGGTTTAAATGCTAAGTCCCAAGACAGGTACTTCCAAACCTGCATTCTAGTCTTACATGTCAATTTTGTCTCTCCTAACAGTTCAAATTTGTGAATTGATAGCCTTTATCACAGTTTGTGGATTTATAAGGATTTGTGTGATTATTTGTTTATTATCTGTTTCTCAATAGACTCCATGAGAACAAAAGACCAAGTCTGTTTTACTCATTAATAGGTACCTCACCCTTGCCACCAGTCACTTAATAGGCCCTTTAAAAAATTCTTAGAATAAATGAAAATAAAAAATTTCACATATTTGTATCATTATCAATGAATATGGTTACTATAATCAGTATATTTGTGATTTTTGGATAATATGAAACTGTAATACCTTTGGATAAACATGTTTTAATCTGTTTTCTCTTACATTTGGGAAAACATGAGCTAGTGGAATAAGAATTAGTCTCCCACTTGCCCAGCAGCACCTGGGTTTTATAAGTATGTAAACATTTTCCATTTTCGACAGAAAAAGTGTACTTTCAAGATTTGGATCACCCTAGGGAACGTTCCATTTCCTGTCTTCACTAGTTCAGCATGTGATATAGAAGAGCATATCCAGAATGAATGCGAACTTCTCAGAAACCATTAGCAGTACAAGTGACTGTTTTTCAAACAGAAGTTGAAAACTTCTTTATTGAAAACAGAAGTTGAAGAAACTTAAATAAATTACTATTTATGTGGAAAATTTGTGTATCTAGAGAATGGTTTTTTGATCATTTGCTTTATCTTCTCTTTGTTAAGATAACAAGCTCAATATAAATACCTCATAAATGTTACTTAAAGATTTTCAAACCAACAATGGATAGGTATATATTATTTAGACTAACCAAATTTCACAACTGTTATTATTTATAAATATATATATATTTATAAAATTAACTATAGTTATTTCCAAATTTATAGAAAGAAGCAACGTCTATTGAAACCTAGAAAATAGTAGGTATTACAGTTTCATGAGTATGAAAGACTACTTATAAAATTAAATATTACTTACTCGTCATTTCAGTTAATTATTTGAGCATACAAAGAGGATGAAACTATCACCTAAATCAATTTAAATATCCTTTATCTCACCTTGCAATTGCTAAAGTATTGAAGCATTACTATAGTTAGGATTAATTAATCATGTAATTAGAAATGATGGACATTTGGAAACAGGAAGAAGAGACTAGACCCCTTATTCCTCAGAGATTTCCTCTCAAGGACCTCTCCATATAAAACTGACAACATGAAATTCTCAGACCCGTTATTTTATACTGCTTTTTGTAATACTAAACTATACTAAATTTCATTTTGAGAGGCTACATAAAACTCATTAGAATATAGAAAAAAGAAATGTGTGATAACTGTAAGCTTCTGAATTACTAGAAGAATTAGCTGAAAATTATAATACTGCACTTTGCTATTGTCATTTCAAAGTGGCTTTGGAAAAATCTGGTTGAATTAATAAAATATGTCTAATAAGGGATTAGCCTTCCAGCTATTTCTATAATATTTAATATTTTAAATTATTGCTATGCTCATATTAGAATACATAGACATTTAACATATACCCCTCATTTAACCTTCTAACACTGCAAATATGACTTGGAGATCTTAAAAACTATAGAAGAAAGGAAAATAGAAGGAAACATTTCATAATGCAGTCACAATAAAAAGGGTGAAAACTCGCCAATTCTATTTAGCCCATATTACAATATATAAATAATAGAATGTGTTTATTAACATTTATTTGCCTGACAACAAACATTTAATTCATTGACTAACATTTTGAAACCATCCAAGGTTAAATCAAGGAAAAAGAAAGATTTTCAAACCAAAATTTACCTTAATGTATATATTATTAATCAAATCAGTGGCAGCAGATGATACTCATCAATCTTTAGATACGATGATAACATCTGAATAAGTTTCATGAACATGTTGCTTTCACTACCACTTGTACTGATAATTTTCAGTGATATTGTAAAGAACTATATAAATGCCATGATTTTTGGTTTCTATCTTATTGAAATATTTACTATTTATTTTCTTTATATGTATCTAATTTAAGGTGAAAACAATCTCTTTTTTGAAATAAATTTTTTTTTCCAGGTGAATCTCTTGGCTTTTGGAGTTATCATATACAAAGTTTTCCGTCACACTGCAGGGTTGAAACCAGAAGTTAGTTGCCTTGAGAACATAAGGTAAATGTGTCTTTTTAAGTTCACTATTTTTTAGTAATTAAAATCTTTAGTAACTTAAAGTACAATAAGTTTGGGAATTATTTTAAGTGATTTTTTCATGCTTTACTATATTTAAAAGACATTGGAAAATAGCATTTAGTATGTTTATTAAGACTACAGTTACCACAGATTAAATGGTCAGAAGCAATTTTTTCGAACATAAAAAGATGATGACGGTGTTTTAAGGCAAGAAGGCCTTAGTGATTTTCTTTTGCAAAATGTTTTCAGAACTTAGTAACTGTTTCTTTCTTGTTATTTCTAGTTTGCATGTTGTCATGATTTTTCCTTCACATGCCCCTCCCCCTTTAAAACTGATTTATTGAAACCTTGAAAATGATTTGTTCAGGAAGAGCTGAATTATGCTATAGGGAACACCGGGAACAACTGACTGTTTGTGGAGCTTGGGAACACTCCTGTAGTTTCAATACCTTGCATAAGATTTATAGTTGGGATTTAGTAAACGTTTGATTGATTACTTTCTTTTCGTCCTCACCGTCGTGGTTTCATGTAGGGTACTGGTTTTAATAAAGTTGAAAATGACTCATTTTCTGAGGTATACTACTGAAACAGCTACTGCAACAAAGAATGATTGGACTACAAATGAATGAGAGAAAAATCATTAGTTGCGTTATTTCCAAGGCAATGTCCTTTGTGAGCAGGATTGAATATTGTTTTACCAAAAGTCACAGGCAATCTGTTGAAAAGATGTAAGAGTCAGTATGTGTGCGTATTTTTTCTTTAATTTTTAAGAGAACAGTATTCTGTAATGAATTTATTTTGACATAACTCTATGGCAAAAGCCAAACAAAATAAAACAAAACCCTATTTTTATATCCTGCACTTTCTTTTCTTCTAACCTGAAAGGAAAGCAGAGCTTCCTTTGATGTCATGGATATGTACTGACCCCAGTCCACATGGTATACTTTTCAGGGTTTCTTAGGGAAAATACTTCCTGACTGATATATGTCTTACCGTCAGGAATTCCCTCAACACTACATTTGAAATCAAAGTGTACACACTACAGTATACCAGACAAAAATATTTTAGGATTAAGGAAATTCCTTAATCTTAAAAATAATTCCGTGTTTCAGTAATAGTAATTTGCCTTTGGAAGCAGACTCCTGCTACGGTGCAGTAGCATACCCTAAAGGCTGTCCCACTTAACTGCAGCACAACTTCCCAGTTTCAAAATCCTACCGGGTCTTTGTAAAAGGTTTATTTTCTTTTATTTATTTTTTATTGTACTTTAAGTTCTGGGGTACACGTGCAGAACATGCAGGTTTGTTACATAGGTATACACGTGCCATGGTGGTTTGCTGCCCATCCCCCATCATCTACATTAGTTATTTCTCCTAATGTTAGCCCTCCCCAAACCACCCCCCAGCTATCCCTCCCCTAGCCCCTCTCCCCACAACAAGCCCCAGTGTGTGATGTTCCCCTCCCTGTTTCTGTCTGTTCTCATTGTTCAACACCCACTTATGAGTGAGAACATGTGGTATTTGGTTTTCTTTTCTTGTGTCAGTTTGCTGAGAATGATGGTTTCCAGCTTCATCCATGTTCCTGAAAAGGACATGAACGTATCCTTTTTTGTGGCTGCATAGTATTCCGTGGTGTATATAAAAACTCACCTCCCACGTAATTTGAGTAATTTGAGATATGTGTTGAATATACATAGCTTTCTTCACTGATGCATTTCTAGTATGTGATAGGTCTTGTGCAAGAGGAGCCCTGGCTCTCCTGTTCCTTCTCGGCACCACCTGGATCTTTGGGGTTCTCCATGTTGTGCACCCATCAGTGGTTACAGCTTACCTCTTCACAATCAGCAATGCTTTCCAGGGGATGTTCATTTTCTTATTCCTGTGTGTTTTATCTAGAAAGGTAAACAATTTCTTGTTTTGGTCAATCCTAATATATTCATGTAGCATCAGTTGCCAAACTGATAGAAAATTCTTATTCTTATATATCTATGACTTATGCCTCTATTGCGTAAATCACCTGTTCATAGGAACATATGCTTTTAAAAATACATTGACATTAGGGATATAAATATAGCTTAAATGAACATATTCTGATAATCAGAAAGCCATACATAATACATTAGAAAACCACATATGACAATTTATTGTGATTTGATTTGAAAAAAATGTGATTGTTTTGATTAACATTTCTTCCTTTGCTTTTCTTAATTTTTAGATTCAAGAAGAATATTGCAGATTGTTCAAAAATGTACCCTGTTGTTTTGGATGTTTAAAGTAAACATAGAGAATGATGGATAATTACAGCTTCACAAAAGTAAAAAATCCAAGCAGTGAGTGACCAATGTATAAAAATGACTCTATCAAATTGTGCAATTATTACTAGACAAAAAGTATTTTAAATCAGTTTTTCTGTTTACACTATAGGAACTGTAGATAATGAGGTAAAATTATGTATCATATAGATATGGCATGCTTTTCTACATGAAATAGTTCTGTCAAAAATTGTATTGCAGATATTTGGGAAGTAATTGGTTTCTCAGGAGTGGTATCACTGCGCCCAAGGAAAGATTTTCTTTCTAACACAAGAAATATATGAATGTCCTGAAGGAAACCACTGGCTTGATATTTTTGTGACTCATGTTGCCTTTGAAACTAGTCCCCTACCACCTTGGTAATGAGCTCTGCTACAGAAAGTGTGACATAAGAGAATGAAGGGGCAGAATATCAAACAGCGAAAAGGGAATGGTTGTTATCATAATGAGATGTATTTTGAATAAACTTGTTTTTCTGTAGACTACCTGAGAAATTGTTGAGATAAAATAAAGAATTGAAGAAACGCAGCTTACTATTTTGTGAATTGTTCTGAACTTAAATGTCTACTAAAACAACTTAGACTTCTGTTTGCTATATCCATTTCCTTTTTTAAATTCCAAAAAAAGGTTGCCTCCAGAAATTGAAGAAAAAGCAAAAAATATGAGTTTCTAAGGCTAGACTGAGACATATGTTATTTCTATACTTATTTCACGGATTGTGGCTTTGGATGTTTGATCAGCAAAATATAAGTTTGTCAAAATATAGTATTGTTTATACCTATCAATGTAAACAGAGCGTAATAAAGCTGAAGTATTCTATTACCTTTCAGTGAAAACTATACTATCTCAGTATATTTCAATCCATTATTATTTTTAATATTAGAAATACTGTAGTTCGCATTGCAATATTCCCTTTTAATTTAGTATTTTTAAAGGGGTATTATAAATATGAAAGTATTGATAAAGTGAATTGCTATTTTTCAGTTCAGAAAAGTACACATTTGAAATTGTTATTTATAACAAAGAAATCATGGAGAACTATAGAGGTTTCCAGTGGATCTATTTTCTGACAGTTTCTACTATCTATTAAAGCATATCTGCTTAAAATATATAGCTTCTATCTACCTTTAAGTCTTTGCATTGAAATGTAGAAGCAGTGGCTTTGATTTCAAAAATACGTAATTTTTCCTCTCCTACCTGTAAAAGTGGGCCAGTACACTAAATTTGTGATTTTAATTTCTCCAGCTTTTGAAATGAAGTCTGCCAAATCTTGCTCTAACAAATAAAATGTTGTCTAAATGAGGCAATTGTGCTACAGCTTTGCTGAATTCCTGTTCTCAAGAAAGATGAGCTACCTGCCAAAGGGTCTTTCACATTTTTAGAGAATCCATATAATAACTTCTCATTGTCTTCTCATTTCTTACATGGTAGGTCTGTGACCCATTACTATCAGTGCCATTGCAGGATAGTGTTATAGAAATATGATATTGAAAGTACTCATCTGTTCAATAGATATATACAAAAATTTATGTGGTAGACAAAATAATGCCCCCTCCCAAAAAAATGTCCTTGCCTCTTAATATGGTAGATTACGTGGTGTGGAGAATTAAAGTTGCAGATGAAATTAAGGCTGTTAATCAGCTGACCTTCAGATGGGAGATGATCCTAGATTTTCCAGGTGGGCCTAGTATAATCACAGCATCCTTATAAGTGAAGGAGAGATTCAGAAGGAGGGCGGGTGTCACAGGGATGCAGTGTGGTACAGATTCTACCAGCCATTGCTGGCATTGAAACGGACTTCATGAAGCAAGGAATGAGGACAGCCTCTAGAAGCAGTAAAAGACAAGGAAATGTTTTCTTCCCTAGCACCTTCAGAAGGAAGTCAGCCCTGCTGATACCTTTATTTTAGCTCAGAGAGACCCATTTCAGACTTCTAAACTCCAGGCCTGTAAGAGAGTAAGTTTGTAGTGTCTTAAGCCAAGTTTGTGAATAATTTGCTACTGCAGCAGTTGGGAACCAATATGATGGACATATTTATGTAATAAGATCTTTGGAGATTAACTACTGTTCAAATCATTAGGGCAAGTGTTGACCCAACCATCTTCTTTTTATACACCTTTCTATAGATATCACTGGATGAAGCTTATATTTGTTAGTATGACAGTTAAGAGCTTCTCATATCTACTTACCTCCCCAGTTTTCATTTTTGTCCGACAAGTTTCTTCAATTATACCAAACTTTTTACCTTTCCCCAAATTTACCATGGCTTATCAAATTCCTCTTTTCTGGAATTTCCTCCTTGTGCCAATCATTACTCTGACAAATATCACTTGTCCCTAATGCGTCTTTCTTGAGGAAGCCTTCTCTGACTCTCACAGGAATTAACCACTTCTACCTTTGTCTCACCACTCTATCCAGTACTTACCTATTCAGCATTTATAGCACTGTATTGCATTTACTTACCCAGCTCAGAACATTTTTTGGATGGTATTTCGTTGTTCTTTAAAGGCAGGTTTACCCTTTTTATTTTGTTTCCTGAATCAATGTTGCTTATCTTCTGTTGCTTCCTGACCACATGATTGATGTCATAACAGGGATGGACCCTCTGAACAATCTGGCCTCTGGTCTTTTGCTTTACCAATTCCATTCTGAAAGTCTGCTTAAGCCTTTCATTCTTGTCTCACACACATCATGCAATTAGGTAGAAAGGGATGACCGGCAACTTCAAATTAGTAACATAGAGAAGGCAGAGGAATTAGACCACCAATATAACCTTGAGCATTCAGCTTCTCAGAAAAGAAATTTTTAGGGGATTTGTAAGGAGCTTACCAAAATACAAAGTCATGCTCTGTTATCCATTTGGTTGTGAGTCCTTCTGTTATTCCTTATTCCACTTCCTCATCTGATAGTGAGTTAGGTAAATATTAAGATGCAACCACCTTAACCTATAAAACATATCGCAAGTTCATCAGTAAATACTAGATTACAAACTCTTCTTTTCTTCATAAACAAACAAAGGTGAGGTTATGCAATCTCAGAAGACTAAATCAAGTAACTCAATACTTTAAGCTTGGCTTAAGGCAACGAGATGGACAGACACCAGAGACATCTAAGGTAAATCCTCCTTGTGAAAACTTGCTATTAAAAAAGTTGGTTGACTGATTACACTGTAATTGGGAAAAATTTATTTACATGCAATTTAACAATTAGAAATAATATGAGGGTCTATAAACAAATAATCTGCAATCTTCATACTAGGCATAACCAACAAACCTTTCATAATTTGATGATGACATCATTTCTTCAGTCCTTTTCAATATAATGCCAGTCTCGTAAAATTAAAAGTTGACTGTGCATTCATTAATTTTATTTTTTATAAAAAAGACAGGGTTTCACCATGCTGGTCAGGCTGGTTTTGAACTCCTGACCTCAGGTGATCCACCCGCCTTGGCTTCCAAAGGGCTTGGATTACAGGCATGAGCCACCACACCCTACCTAATTTTCTGTATATTCTATCTAACTTACTCTTCACATCTTCACTGCCCTATGAAATAAGGCCCGTTCATATGTGTCATATTATTGTCTAATTTCTCCAACTTGAAATTTTTTAGGAAAACATGAATTATGAATTCGGTATGAATCCAGAAACAGTACTCCATTGTTCAAGTGTTCCTGCTACCTGGAATGTCTTCTCACATGCAAATTTCACCCACCATTCAAGGCTTCACACTATGAAGCTCTCTGATCAATTTGGTCCTTATTAATTTCCACAATCACTACCACTATAGCACTTACTGGTTATACATGATAATCTATCACTTAATAAGAATCATTGTAAAGTCATCATTCAGTGCTCAATCATCAAACTCCTGGGTTTTAGATTATAGATAGGAGTTAAATAACTTAGTAAAGACATTTAAAGAAAATATTTCTTTCTTGAACATTGACACAGTTTTGAATAGTTAAATTGAGCTATCTCATTTAATTCTGACACTAACATATACAATTCTATCCTCGTCTTTTCAGTGTGAAAAGTGCCTAATCCCACACAGGTAGGAAATTGCAAAGTTAGTTTTCAAACTCAAAGCTACAGCTCCTGCTGCTCCCCCACGGGAGCTCTCACAAACTTGCTCAGACTCAGATAGGGATTGAAGATGGCTGGATTCATATCCAAGCTTTCTGCCTCTGTAGGTTACATTCCACAGCTATCCATTTGTATAGTATATGGCTAATATTGCAGTTCACAATTATGTTCTCTCGAGGCTAGAGGAAGCATGACATACTCTTTTATCGTGGGACTTCAGTGTCTTTTCTACATGCATCTGTGATTTGAAATAAGTGCATAGCATAAGTTTTAAGGTAAAGTGTTATTATTCTTTTTCTCTCTGTGCTTCATTGCCCTTTCCCTGTACATTTATTCCCACCCCCCGTTCCTACTCACATCCTCAACCAGGCAATTCATGTTAACCAACTGGCCTATATTCTTCCATACTGTTCTTCCTGTTCCTAACATCATATTGAGAACATAAATATGATATCACATTATAAAAATGTCTACATTGCCTGCTTTTCTCACTTGGTAAATTAACAAGTATAGCCCATTCATTCATTTAGTGGCTGAAAGATATTTCATATTAAGGATGTACCATAATTGCACAGCTGATATACAATCTGAGCTAATGCAACAATATGTTGAAAGAGCTTGGTGCCTTTCAGAAATAATGTTCCCTGTGCCATATAGCTTGGTTTCCCTGTGGAAAATACCAACTGCTAATGTTATTTTTTTTCTTAAGATGAATGTGGACTCACATTGATGAACCAAAACATCATAACCCTCCCATTGATGTAAGGGTTGTTTGTTGTTTCTAGTATGTATTCAGTGAAAATCATATTATGGATTTGAGATCCACAAAGCTCCTTGAGCAACTTTATTTAAGAGAAAAGAAACTGAATTATTTACCCTACATTGATGGCTTGAGCAAGCCTAAGACTGATAAGCAATCTGAAAGTACAGAACATTTTACCTGGTATTTCATTCAGACATTGCATATCACAGGTTTGGATGATAGTTATGATTAACATAAAATGAGATGGTTAGTTTAACTGCAAAGTTTAACTGCAAAGGGTCCCTTCTGGTGCCAATGTACTATGTTTCTAATTCCAACCCACCATTTGGAAGCAACGTAAATAATAAGGTGTATAAAGCATATTACAATTTTATGCACTCAACAATAAGGGAAAAAAATAATAGGTTTCTTTCAAAATTGTCCTTAGGAAATGTGGTTTTATTTCCTATCAGTCTGCAATTTTTGCCATATATCAACATCCAAGGGCACATAGCTCAACCTGAAAATGATTATTTTCTTTCTTTTCCTTAATGTATCAGAAAGTGATTCTAAAAGAACTTCAGTATGCAGGGGGGTTAATTATCTTGGCAGTCAGTTAAGCTTTGGAAGTTTTAGGTGATAAGAACAGAGCCCTAAAAAAGACTCCCTGCCACTGCTGCCTGCTGTGAAGAAACAGCCGTGTGTTGCCACCA